AGAGTTAAAAATTTAATCTGCAAAGCTATTTAGAGAGTGTATAGGCCTTGACAGGCCTCCCAAATGTATTAAGAAAACAAGAACAGCAGAGTTATGGAAAAAAAAAAGCTTCTGCAGCAAATAGCATGAAACTAAGCTTTCTTGACAGAATCAGTTTGCCAAATGACTTTAAAATTGCCTTGTCTTGTAGGATTTCTTAAAAAGGATTCTTTTTAAATGTCGGAGAGAAAAATAAAAGTTTTTCAACTTCTGTGATTCTTGTTGTGCCCTTAAACCAACAAAAAACTCTCTTGTGACACTGAGCGACTGCATCGCCTTTGAGAGAAGTCGTGAGTAAAACGTTTTTTTTCTCGTTTTTTTGTGAGGTCAAGTGTAATAGAACACATGCAATCTTGCATCACTTTCCTTTTTTTATTTTATTTTTAGTTTATGTGTCTTTATGATGTTTCCTCAATGTGACAGATGTAAACATTTATATATATATCACCGACCAAGAATGGGGTTCATTGGCGTTGTGGCAGGCTTATGCCATGTATGATCATATACTGTAACTAAACCCACATTGTTTTTGCTTAGGTGAGGTGTTTTTAAATAAAACTATTACATTCTGTGAGCCTTGAAAATGCTGTTTAGCAAATGAATGAGTGCGCTGGATCTTGTATGTTATATTTATTTATATATATATATCTATGTTTGTGTGTGTATAGTAAAAGAAATGAACTATATATATATATATATATATATATATATATATATATATATATATAAAATTACTTTTACTATATATACTTACTTATGAATTGATAATTTCCTTTATGGAATGTTCATAATTTCCAAAGAGGTGAGATCGATGTTTCTCTATAATGAGGCACATGTGACATGGAGCAGACATTCCAAGTCTCCCGTTAGTTCCAGGAGACTCCAGCATGTGAATGCTGCTCCTTGACACCCGCAAGTCATACACAATATCCCGGAAAACACACACACAAGCTGATGTGTGTGATTTCCATTATATTGTGTATGGTTTGCGCCCCTAACACACCCATACTACTCATTAAACAGTGGCTCGGTCGGTGCCCTCCCTTTAAGGGCCACCCGAGTCCCTGTGATATGAGCCATCAGGGAGGAAGTGACAGCTACTTCCTCCCTACTTCTCAGAGAGCCGCCCGCCCATGAGGACTAGAGGGGGGAGGCTGCAGCATGGAGGCAGGAGGCAGCATGAGAGAGTGTGTTTATCTGAGAGTGTGTGTGTGTGTATCTGAATGTATGTGCTAGTGTGTGTATCTGAGTGTGCCAGTGTATCTATCTGTGTGCAAGTGTGTGTATTTGAGTATATGTGCCAGTGTGTGTATCTGAGAGTGTGTGTCAGTGTGTGTATCTGAGTGTGTGTGCTAGTGTGTGTATCTGTATGTCAGTGTGTGTATCTGAGTGCATGTGCTAGTGTGTGTCAGTGTGTGTATCTGAGTGTGTGTGCTAGTGTGTGTATCTGTATGTCAGTGTGTGTATATCTGAGTGTATGTGCCAGTGTGTGTATCAGTGTGTGTCCTATAGGCCTTAAAGGGGGCGTCGGCAGGAGCTTTATTGCTCTACTCGTTTGTCCGCCCCTCTATGTTTTAATGATTCTAGAAATTGTTCTGCCGGCCATGTTGCCAGGCGTAACACTGGTCCGGCGGCATCCACTTCAGCCTGCTCAGCTAGGTCCCCAGAAGCACTCCCATTGCTGTAACAGTGCGATGACGCTTCAATTTCTCGCTCCCGCCCCTTTGCCAGGTAAGTGGGGACAAGTGGGCAAGAGCATAGCAGGGGCGAGACTGACATGTAGCGGGGCTGACAATTTCCAAATTTAATTTTTTACATAATTATGTAAAAACATATTTTTGTATGGGTCAGTGTGTGTCTGTATGGGTCAGTGTGTGTTTGTATGGGTCAGCATGTGTTGGCAGTATGGGTCAGCTTGTGTCTGCATGTATCAGTGTGTGTGTCTGCATGTATCAATGTGTGTCAGTGTATGTGTCTGCATGGGCCAGTATGTGTAATACATGTATCAGTGTGTGTTAGTGTATGTGTCTAAATTAGACAGTGTGTGTGTGCGTCTGTCTGCATGGGTCAATTTGTGCATCAGTCTGTGTGTGTGAGTGAGCGTGCATCAGTCTGCGTGGGTCAGTCTGCTTGGGTCAGTGTATGTCAGTCTGCATGAGTGGGTGGAGGAAATGGTGAGGCAAAAATCCTTGCACCGGTACCCCCGTGTATCTGGGTTTCTTGCTAGTGTGTGTATCTGAGTGTGTGTGCTAGTGTGTCTATGTCAGTGTGTATTTGAGTATGTGTGCTTGTGTGTGTATCTGTATGTCAGTGTGTGTATCTGAGTGTGTGTGCTAGCTTGTGTATCTGTATGTCAGTGTGTATCTGAGTGTGTGTGCTAGCTGTATCTGTATGTCAGTGTGTATCTGAGTGTGTGTGCTAGTGTGTGTATCTATATGTCAGTGTGTGTATCTGAGTGTGTATGCTAGTGTGTGTATCTGTATGTCAGTGTTTGTATATGCCAGTGTATGTATATGTGTGTGTGTATCAGTGTGTCAGTGTGTATGTGCCAGAGTGTGTGAATGCACCAGCATGCACATCTGTGTGTGTATTTGCCAGTACATGTATCTGTGTGTCAAGGTGTATGTGTGTGTGTCTCTGTGTGTTGTGGGGGGGAAGCGAGTGTGGCGGGAGAGTGCGCGTGGGTGGGGGGGACCGCAGTAGCTTGTGAAATCCATTTTTGCACGTTGGGATGTCTGCATGGAGGGGTGCAATGCCAAGGGAGTTACAAGCCTTCAACTTTCCTGATTTCAGTTGGACAGAACTGGAAATTTTTTGAAACAGTGCTCCCTGTGGCATGGTTTGCCCTTGGTGTGCCAACCTACTTGATTGGCAGGCAGCCTGGCATGCATGGACACCAGGCTGACCTGTCAATTTATCAGGTTGGACTGGCCACTTTTTACCCATTCCACCAGCATCTTGCTTCACACGAGGCCTAATTTTAGAGGTATGGAGTTGGCCTCTACTCCCATATATATATATATACACACATAAAGATGCTACTAGGGGCTAATAGATAAAATATACAGAATCCAGCACACTAACTCATTCACTAAGTACCAGACATCAAGTCCCGTTATTTTTGCCCAAGTTAGATGATTTTAAAAATGATTAAATTATGTTAACTTTAAATTTGTTTGTTTTATAGTGCATTATTAAAAAATAATGCTATTGAGAGATTTTGGAGGCATCTCGACAGATACGGAAAAAGGTCTATTGGTTTATAAATGTCTCTAGAAGTATTTCCCCAATACATGCTTGTGCATTTTGTATCTTTTAAAGTAAATTAAATTATTTTTTTAAACACAGGCCTAGGTATCCTCAAATTTTGAAATATACAGGGATATTAATCTCTAAGAAGATACAATTGCTGGAATACAACTTGTGTTCAAAAAAATCCATTGATAATTAATTAATTAGATTGGAGAATTAATTCACCACGAAATGCAGGTTATGGTGGGAATTTACAAGCTTGCAGATTTATGTAAAAGAGATTTCAAGCTGATTACCCACTTTTGCAAAAAAACTACCTAAGAATTCATATATAGATCACAAATGATTCAGTGCTCTAGATAATTGTGCCTTTGTGCAAATAAAAAAAAAAGAATTTTATATCATTTTAAAACAGAATGTTATGTTCCGACATGTTTGCTGCTTAGATTAAGAAGTTGTAAATAAAAGGAATTTCACTTGACAGACTATAGTTGAAAGGATATGCCAGTAGCTGCTCCCGCCTTTATTTTGGAGAATCATCAAATTGGAGTAGAACTAGATTGCTCAGTTTTGATCTTTTCAAGAATAATTCAAGCCAACAATGTTTTTCTCTTGTTCCAGTGAGGAAAAAAATACAGACAGGAAGTGGCTCAGAAAAACGAAGAAGCCTACCAAAACAAAAGATGTTTTGATGCAAGAACAAGATAAACTACTAAAATGTATAGGAAAAATAAGAATTACAGGATCCCACCACAGTGTTGCAAATGATTGCAAGGCTGTGGGGTCTATCCTGATAGCCTACTTCAGAGCTACAAAATAGGGGGTAACCCAAAATGAAATAAATTATAGTAAAGGAGACCCCTGAAACAGGGGGATCCCAAGAGGAGTAGCTCTGGTACAGAAAAAAGGAAAAATAGTATCTAGAGGTAAATGGAATAATTAAGGAGAGGGGGAGAGGAAAAGAAGAATGCCATATAATAATGGGCAAAAGGGATGAAGGGGGTAAAGAAACAGAATCAGAGACAAAGTTACCCCTACTCCACCCTAAACCACCCACAACTTCCAAAAGCAGGCAATACTTGGGACTAACCAATCCAAAGAGGAAGAAAAATCCCCCCTCTCACAAGCAGGCTCAAATCTTGTGGGCAAAAGGGTCCTAATGAAAACACCCTTACATATGAAGCCCAAAAAAGGAGCTGAAAAGGGCCTGCCTGAAAAAACAAAATTACTAGAATACTAACTAACTCATAGAATCATACTAACTACCTATGTGCTACCCAAAAAGTGAAAATAAATAAATAAAAAGAAAAGCGCTCGACGCGCGTTTCGGCGTGAATACACGCCGTCGTCAGGAGCAAATTCACATGTTAAAGCAGTTCCATCGGTTAAGTACCTGTATTAATCAGAGGGAAAGTCCTTCAGGTGATCCGGCGTGTAGAGGGGGCGTGGATGAACAGCGTAGGAACACCGCGCCCCTCTAGCCTTCACCCAACCACAAGACAAATGCCATTGGATAGTGGGGGGATCAATCAAACATAGTCCACACCCACCTTACCATGACTCACGTCATTGGGCGGTGGGAGGATCAATCCAGCCTTATTCCCGTCCACCTTACCCCGGCAAACACCATAGGGCGATAGAGAGATCAGTCAATCCTGATCCACGCCCACATTGCCGGTTAAGGTTAATACGGCGAAAACAGGCTGTGAAAATGATTAGAGACGCCCCTTATTTTTGAAAGATAATAATTTCCCCTCGCGATCAGCGCCAGGACACATAGAGAAAGGGAAACATCCATTAAGGCTCAGCTCAGTCACAGAATAGGATGCTGTCGGCAATCCAAAACTGTGACAAAAACTGAGATAAGATGTCATAAATCTCATTATGTCCCAATTAATGTGTAATCAAAATAGCTCAATGTTAATTGTGATTATAGAATTTCCCTCTTTACAACAATACAAGGTCCAGTCCCATATTAAAAAATCATGTCCGAATAGCTTTCTTAACTGGCATAGTTACCACCCTTACCCTTCCAAAGCTGGCATCCCAATTGGGCAATATCTGCGATTGCGCAGAAATTGCTCTAGTCTTGAGGACTTTAAAATAAAAGCTGTCAGCTTAAGGAAGTCCTTTAAAGATAAGGGATACCCTAATAGGGTGTTGAAAAGAGCTTATTCCAGAGCAATTAACTCAGATAGAACGAACCTGCTTCAGGATAAAACTCCTTCTTCAAATTATCAGATTCGATGCATTGGGACATATGATGCAGGCTGGCAAACTATGCTGTCAATTCTTGGCAGATATTGGCCAATTCTTACATCAGATACTCACATCAAGTCCGTGATCTCACCATTTCCCTCCGTTACAGCTCGCAGAGGAAAGAACTTCAAGGACCTATTGACATCTAGCCATTTTGGCCCTCTTAATGGTCCCCCTAAATTATATTTACCCAAAGGCACATATGGATGTGGTCACTGTAGTGCCTGCCAATATATAGCCAGGGAATCTAAAACTTTCTGTGATAGCTCCAATCAGGAGTCCCACCCAGTACAGTCCTTTTTCAATTGCCACACAGAGGGGGTAATTTATCTTTTGACATGCTCCTGTGGTATTAAATATGTAGGGAAGACTTTTCGCCCTTTCAAGTTCCGTATAAGGGAACATGTCAATTCAGTTAGGAGGAAACTATAAACTCCCATCTCAAGACATCTTAAAACACACCACGCCAATTCATCCAGCAGGATACGATTTATGGGCATAGAACGTATACCCCAGACCCAACGGAAAGGGGACTGGGATCGTAAGCTTAAACAGAGAGAATCCTACTGGATTTATAAGCTAAAAACTCTTTCACCTCAGGGACTAAACGAAGGCTTTTCGTTTACGTCATTTCTATAGACATATAGGTTTTTCCATCTACAGAAAATGGAGCCACTCTATTCACTATACTTGCCTTACCTTATTTTAATAGCTATCTGTATATATCTGTAAATAAAGTTTTTCTTATTTTTCATTTTTCGCATATATTGCACCATATCCTATCGCTTCTGACCTGATTTTAGGGCTAGTCCTTATTACCACCGTTAGATTATGACTATAACCTCCTCTAGCCAACTTCATAATTCAAAACGGGTCCTTTGTTGATCCATACGGGATGTGATGGGTTTAAATACTTTGTTATTATCCTCATTACAGTCTTAGATCTTACATTCGTTCACTTGGGATCTGATGGGATTGAAGATATCTCCTTTTGTATTATAGTGTTGACTCAGTGGCGTACACATGATCCATGGGGCCCCGGTGCGAAAATTGATCCGTGGGCCCCCCCGCGCGGGTCGGGGCCGCAACACATGGCGGCGGGCACCTGGTCGCAGGGGTTGCAGGGCTGCGACCCCGCGACCGCGGTATGTACACACACTTAAAGGACCACTACAGACACCCTGATCACATCAGCTCAATGAAGTGGTCTGGGTGCCAGGTCCCTCTAGTTTTAACCCTGCAGCTGAAAACATAGCCGTTTCAAAGAAACGGCTATGTTTCACTGAGGGTTAATCCAGCCTCTGGTGGCTGTCTCATTGACAGCTGCTAGAGGAGCTTCCACGATTCTCACTGTGAAAATCACAGTGAGAAGACACTGTACGTCCATAGGAAAGCATTGAGTAATGCTTTCCTATGGGCGGTTTAAATGCGCATGCGCCTCTTGCCGCACATGTGCATTCGGAGCTGAGAGGCGGAGGGATCCCCAGCGCCAAGGAAGTCCGACGCTGGAGAAAGGTAAATGCTAAAGACATACACACACATTCTCACGAACAGACGCATACACACTAGCTAACAGACACACACATTTACTGACAGAGACACACTCAGCGACAGACATACATACACACTCACTTACAAAACACACTTTCACTGACAAACACACACTCACTAACAGACATCAAACACACTCAGTAACAGACACACACAGTAACACACTCACTAGCAGACACACACCCAATAACAGACACACTCACTGACACACACACTAACACAAACACTAAAACACACTAACACATACATACACATACACACACACACACACACACACTAACACACACACACATACACTAACACACACATACACTATCACTCACATACATACACTAACACACACACACATACTATCACTAACATACACACACTAACATACACACACACACACACTATCACACACATACATACACTAACACACACACACATTTAAAAAAAAAAAATTTTTTATCCCCCCAGCCTCCTTACCTTTTGGAGTGCTGGGGGGATTCCCTGGTGTCCAGTGGTCCTCTGGGCGGGTGGCCGGTCGGGCAGGCAGGCGCGCGAGGGAGCACTCAGTGCTTCCTCTTCAGCTCCCTCGCGCGCCGCATAGGGATGCCGGCGCCGGAAGATGACGTCATCTTCCGGCTCCGGTATCAGTGCGCGCGAGGGAGCTGAAGAGGAAGCACTGAGTGCTCCCGCGCGCCCGCCTCCCGACCGGCCACCCGCCCGCTGGGGTCAGCAGGGCCAGCCTCGGGGGCCCTGGGGTGGTCGGCTCCTGGGCCCCCCAGGGGAAGAGGCTGGCCCTGGGCGTACATACCGGGTCGCAGGGGCGGCCGGGCCCCCTGGTATGTACGCCACTGTGTTGACTTACATACTCAACTTTTGCACACAGCTCGGTCTTTGATCCCATATTTGTCCATACAGGACATGATTTTTTAATATGGGACTGGACCTTGTATTGTTGTAAAGAGGGAAATTCTATAATCACAATTAACACTGAGCTATTTTGATTACACATTAATTGGGACATAATGAGATTTATGACATCTTATCTCAGTTTTTGTCACAGTTTTGGATTGCCGACAGCATCCTATTCTGTGACTGAGCTGAGCCTTAATGGATGTTTCCCTTTCTCTATGTGTCCTGGCGCTGATCGCGAGGGGAAATTATTATCTTTCAAAAATAAGGGGCGTCTCTAATCATTTTCACAGCCTTTTTTCGCCGTATTAACCTTAACCGGCAATGTGGGCGTGGATCAGGATTGACTGATCTCTCTATCGCCCTATGGTGTTTGCCGGGGTAAGGTGGACGGGAATAAGGCTGGATTGATCCTCCCACCGCCCAATGACGTGAGTCATGGTAAGGTGGGTGTGGACTATGTTTGATTGATCCCCCCACTATCCAATGGCATTTGTCTTGTGGTTGGGTGAAGGCTAGAGGGGCGCGGTGTTCCTACGCTGTTCATCCACGCCCCCTCTACACGCCGGATCACCTGAAGGACTTTCCCTCTGACTAATACAGGTACTTAACCGATGGAACTGCTTTAACATGTGAATTTGCTCCTGACGGCGGCGTGTATTCACGCCGAAACGCGCGTCGAGCGCTTTTCTTTTTATTTATTTATTTTCACTTTTTGGGTAGCACATAGGTAGTTAGTATGATTCTATGAGTTAGTTAGTATTCTAGTCATTTTGTTTTTTCAGGCAGGCCCTTTTCAGCTCCTTTTTTGGGCTTCATATGTAAGGGTGTTTTCATTAGGACCCTTTTGCCCACAAGATTTGAGCCTGCTTGTGAGAGGGGGGATTTTTCTTCCTCTTTGGATTGGTTAGTCCCAAGTATTGCCTGCTTTTGGAAGTTGTGGGTGATTTAGGGTGGAGTAGGGGTAACTTTGTCTCTGATTCTGTTTCTTTACCCACTTCATCCCTTTTGCCCATTATTATATGGCATTCTTCTTTTCCTCTCCCCCTCTCCTTAATTATTCCATTTACCTCTAGATACTATTTTTCCTTTTTTCTGTACCAGAGCTACTCCTCTTGGGATCCCCCTGTTTCAGGGGTCTCCTTTACTATAAGATAAACTACTAATCTCTAGCAAAAGTAAAATTACAGACAGGGGTTTTGAACTTGCACAATCAAAGAACTTGGTTATGTGAGACGTTATCTGATGTGAGCTAGAAGCAACTTAAAGGGACACTGTAGGCACCAAGACCACTTCAGCTAATTGAAGTGGTCTGGGTGCTGTGTCCCTTTTGCACTTAGTGCTGCAATGTAAAACATTGGCGCTGGGATAAGGAGGGGGCACGACAGAGGGAGGAGGCAGAAGGATCGGTAGTGCCAGGAATACAGCTTTGTATTCCATGCATTACAGTATCCCTTTAAGGCAGCACTGTCATGATGAACTTACCTTTTTGCCATTCGCTTCCATATCTCTTTCTCTTGCATAATCTGTTTTATTTTCTTCATTTTCTGATCTAGTTTTCTTTAAAACATAAGATAAAGCAGGGACTACTTTGTCTTATGTACTTTTCCCACGCCTGACTTTCTCTGTCACAAGGAGGATCGGAGAAGGAGCTCCATTTCCTGTGTCCCGCAATACTCTCCCTCCTCTGTCTTCTTGCGTGAACTCCATTTGTCATTTGCGAATGTCCTGTCTTGTAGACAAGGCCACCTGCAAAATGATTGAATTTCATATAAACAGAATGTCAAAAGTTTGTCCATTCGTGTTTGGATGAAATGAGGGGCATTATTTTCAATTCAGAATTTCATTCGGAAGAATGAAATCCTGATCCGTATCACGGTTGTATCTTGTAGCCGTTTAGTTAATAACCCCCTAAATTGGTACAATATAGTGGCAATCCCACAAGTATTAGGGCGTTATCAGCCAACTTTACTAATACTAAGTAAAAAATACTTAGTAATAAAATCTCCCTAATGCCACTATTAGCAGTGCTGCGAATAAGAGCATGTCTATTAAAAAGTGAGCAGCCAGAACATGTCCCCTTAAATACAATAAAAGGGGGACCTGATACAGACTTCACATGCTCCCATGGTGGGGCCCCTATTATAATAATAAACAAGGGGGGACATAGTGCCCCCCTCCAGCCTCCCACCCATTGCTGCCCGGTGGGGACACTAAGTAATAAAGAGTTGAAAACCTAGTGTTCACCTTTAGCTACCCACCCATTGCCTGTGGGTGGAGCCTCTAAGTAGTAATGGGGGGGGGGACTTATTGTCTCCCAAGCCACTGAATCTGTAGCCTGTGAGGACAGAGTTCACTTTCGTGAGATCGGGGGCGTTGCCATGGCAATGCTCCGGATCTCGCAAGAGGAACCTGGCGGAGCTGCAAGATAGAGTTCTGCCGGGTCCTCTCCTGTCTCCCACCCCAGCCGGCGGCTGCTTGTCTGTGCAAGTGGGCCGGTGAGGGAGACCTTTGATCTCCCCACCGGCCCGTCATGGAATGCAGCAGGGCTGGCGCTCGGACAGCACAGGCCATGCATGGACCGACCTGGGGAGGTCCTGTGACCTCCCCTGCTGGCCTCAGCCAATGACCATCGCGGCTCACTGGGCATTTGCCCGGCGTGCCCTATGGCCAGTCTGGGCCTAGTGAGGGGAGGAAAAGCTATTAACAGTTTCACTGATAAGTTTTATTAAAGAAGTGAGTTTTTAATGAAATTGTCCCAGACCCTTTCCACAATTTAAACTAATGTGCTAAAAATGGTTATAGGAAATTATACCACTGGCTCAATTGATTGGTTCCCAAGAATTACATGGCTTATACAAATAAAAAATATAATTCCATCTGATTTTATCCATGAATTCTTTCCACACATCCTCCCTAGAGGTCTTCATGTCAGTGTAAGGCAGAATGACATATTTCTGAAAAGCATTCAATATGTGCATTAGCAAGTTTTCTTACAATATAAGTTTTTCTATGAGCTCAATTCTGCTAAGTGACTAATGGTTGAATATTTATATATATATATATATGTCTGTATGTGGTGAACATTGAGTAACGTTTTAATCTTTGTAATAGAAACTAATTATGTAGGCATGGTTATTGCAGAAGAAGTATAATTCCATTTAATTGCATTTAAAAATAAAACTGTCTGATTTTGGATGACATTTGTGAATGCTCCTGTTCTGTCAATATGATCAATAGCTTGCTGAAGCATATGCAGTCTACTTTTGCAAACCATCCATTTTCTACTTAATTAACAGCTGCTCAGAGAAGGGAAACAGGTGCAGATCTAGGTCTAAGCCAAATAAAACTGCCTGCAATTAAAAAGGGGGAAAAAAAAGGTCCTTATTGGAAAGCATATCAAATCTCAATCCACAGGGGCTGCTATACTGGCCTCAAAAGCCTTAGTCACCTGACATCTTAGGGATGCTAATTTAAATTATGCAGGCTTTTAAACAACATGGCTGTATAATCAGTTGGCAGGCACAAAAATCACTGTCTATGTCTTGTATGTTTTTGGACTGGAATGTATAAGTCTGTCAATGGTATTCCAGTTGAATGGAAATATCTACATAATAGAAGGTTTGTAGACAATACTTTGAATGCATTTGAAGATGATAAAATTACATTTTTAGTTTCAAATACACAATATATAATATGGAAAACTGTAGTTCTTCTAATTTTTGATTTGCTTACGTTAGCTAAATGTTCTTCAAAACTTTCTCTTTTTCACCAGCGTACCAGCTTAGTGGTTAATTAAAACAAAATATTCTTTCTTTAGAAATTGATTGAATCTCTATCAGATTTTTTTTGAACATTTACTATTAAAACTTCATGCTCTGAATAAATGTATGTCAAAGTTCAACAAGGTAAATGTTGCATCTCACGACTGCATTACTTTTACGACCTACAGTAATTTCAAATTTGGAACACTAGAGCATTTTGATAAGTGAGGCTTCTTCACGTAAAAGCCCTTTTTTTTAAAGAGAAAAATGTGTATTAATTGATTATTGTGTGTGGGGGCTTCAGTGTGTTTTCATTGGAGTGTAAATGTCTGTTGAAATCTCTTGATGTGTGCATCGTC